GAAACACTTGCCAACTGCAACTGCTCCAAGAATTTATTCAAATTCCTATGGCAACATTATTCTGGTATCCCCTTTGCCTCCCCCCCTTCTTAGCTGCATTTCCACCATCAAAAACCCAAGGTGTATTTGCGCCTTACAGTACTTTAAATACCTTTCCAAAGCTGGCCTTCATTCCCATGTTTCTCTTACCTAACCAGCTCTTGCTGGTTATAGTTCAGCTTTGCCTGGAAAGAAGGTGCAATGTTTTGTGCTGATCCTCTGCCTACAGTGAATTTAGCTCTATCCACATCCTTGTCTTTATTTCTTTCCTCTGTTCCCCGTGTCTCCCCTGCTTATGCCTTTTCATAACCTCTGGCCTGTGTTATTCAGGAGGTCAGCTTATCCCATTGGTCCCTGCTGGCCTTAAAATCTATGAATCTTCTGTTGTATTGTCTGCCTCCCAGCTGCTTATCTTCCCTTCTCACTCTCATTCTTTTGTTTTGTGCCTTGCATTCTTCCTCACTGGTATTAATCTTCCCACTGATTTTTTTAACTCCATCTCGGCAATAAATAAATAAATCAATCTGTGGAAACATGAGTCTGAATTCGTGGCTTTTGTTCACTGCATCATCTCTTTCTCCTCTTATTCCCCATCTGAATATTAAGAGCAGGGAGAACGCCAGGGGGTTTGTATTCTTTGCATTTTATGTCCTTTTTACTTTAGCCTGCACCACACAAAATATGTGCTAACTCACAGCCTAGGAGTGGAGAAGGGGTTTACTAATTAAAGGAACTGAATCACGAAAGGAGCAGGAGGGGCCGGGAGGACTAACCGTTGCTGTTTGCCACTTTGTGAGCAGAAGCTTTATTACTCTGCTGTAGCTAGGACCGCTAGTAGCTGCCTGTCTTTGACCTGTGGTAACAGCTTGTATTTTTATGCAGAAGTACACTTAGAAAGCATAAATTTAAACAGAGAAAACAAAACACTCTATTCATGATGGTATGACTTTTTGCCATCTCTTAATTGATCTTTACATTAAGAAAAAGATTCCCGTAGGGAAAATAGGGAAAATTCACAGTTGTAAGAAGATTTGGGAAGCAGAATCCTACATCTGTTAGTCATATTAAAACGTAAGTTGTCAAGCTAACACCTTTCTCAAGATGCTTCTATACAATAGAAATATTGAAAAAAACCCTGGTAGCTTACTTTTACATATAGCGTCAGTAAGAGACAGTGGTTTTCATGTACACTTTACATTTTTACCTCTTTGCCCAGCTTGAATCAATCAGATATTTTGTCACTGTATCTTAGGATTGCCTTAGGTCATGTAATCACATTAATATAATGGATTAAAAGTATTACTGGCAAGTCCTCCCAGTTTTTATACATTAATTTTATTAGTCATCTTGTAACAAGAAAAAATGTCAAACATGTAAGTAATCCAGTAGCTATTTTAACAGTCAAAAGTCTTTCACTTTTCAGTGAAAGTGAAAGTGTAGTATTTGAACAAACATTTCCTTTAAACCAATATGCCTTCAGGTTTGTTTTGCTGCAGCAGCAAATGGAGACCACTCCATTTTCTTTCTGTGTGGAAAGTGACCTTTACTAAATACCTGTCACTCAGCAGCCTTTAACTTTTTTGACTTCCAGGCAGTTTGCATTTCTTTATCCTTACAGCCCATCAGGCTACGACTGCTCATGCATCCTAGGGCACCGTATTAGCTCTCTGCACATCAGACTCCTCTCTCTTCCCTAAACCACCTTCTGTTTAAGACACTAATCAAATCTCTGCAGAACAGCTCTTCGCACTCCAGATAGCTAGCTGAGGTTGTTATGTATTGACAGGAGATATTTCTCATCCCATTCACTGGAGTTAGGAGTAGCAGGTGTTATTATTTCATCTCTTCTTATAATCCAGAGAACGAAAGCGCAAGAATGCCATTTGAATACAGATAACTCTCATGACAGTCAAATGTGTTATAAATATGCTACTGAGGCAGATTCACACATTGTAAAATTAAAACAAATAGAAATCCTCCAGAGATGGGGGTGAATATCTAAGATGTTGTTAGATTGAAAAATTCGTGTTCCACAAACAGGCTAACTGCATTTCTTGCCATATGCCAGCACATTTTCTGCCTACCAGAAAGACTTGGCTGCAACATGAATGGAATTTCCCTGAGCATTTCCAATGGCAAAGATTCCTCTTTTAACCTCTCCCAGCACCTGCCCCCTTCTCAAATGTTTGTATATATCCATGCCACATAAAGCAAAGCTGCTGGTGATTTTCAAAGCTGCCCATCTTGTTTTTTAGCCTAACCTAACAGCTTCTGTTATTACACAAACATGTGCAGCCATGCACATAGCACGTGCTCAGGCAGGTTTAGGTGTAGGAAGTGACTATCAGTGTTGATACCACACCCTATGTGGTTCTGTGCAGCCCCATCGAGCATGGGCAGCCACTGAAATAAGTGGAATTTCATACAAAGATATCAACCTGGAATATAATTCACAACGAGCTCTAGTGTGTAACAGTCCTCATCTACTTCCCCATTTCTTAATCTTACAGCACAAAATTCAATATTGACAGTTATCCTCACCAGCCACAAAGTACTCCCCAGTTCCTCGTTTACCCAAACAATCTTGCAGTCCATTCCAAGTGCTGGGCAAATGGTTTATCAAAATGACAGTAACAAAGCACTTAGTTCTAAAAGCTCAAATGTTTACTTTTAAGTAACGATGAAGAAAAAAATGTTAGCACTCAAGAAGTCTTTAGAATCCAAAACCTTCACATCCTTTGTAGAAACTCCAGTGCTTTTCCATTACAGGGCATGGCAGAAACTCCTCTTTACATACCATTACTATCTCACTGAATTGAAGAAAATGTGTCAGACTTCCAACTGAGTTGAACTGGACAGAAGAGCCTGTTGAAAATGAATGCAAACGATTACAGAGTGTATATTAGAGTAATGGAAAGCAACCACTGGCGCTATTATCTAAAGAGGTGTTAACAGCTCATTAGAACCAGGTAAGGGTTAGAGATCCCTAGGAATCTGTAATGTGTCTTAGGAATCTTGTAGCATAAGACCCTGGCCATCTTACCGGTATCTCTCACTAGCACCCAGAATTCAGTGAGACAAGGGCAATACTACACTTCGTGGTGCTCAGGGTGAGAAATCAACTGTCCCAGCCACTACCAATTATATAACAGGAAAATGCAATTGTTCTTCAGCATTGTTTGAATTTCACATATTATGTCCACGAAGGGGTAAGTTTAGTGTACTTCCCCAAAATCAAGTAATCCCTCTCACAGGGAATGCCCTTCCTACAGTCCTGAAAGGACTATATAAAAAGGAAGGCATAGACCTGTATACAAGAAATTGCAGGACTGAACAATGCATATTTGCAATATCTAAATATCTGCTGGACTGAAGCAACTATTGCAATGCATAAACTTAAGGCACTTGTGTCAGTGCAGGAGAAGCTGAACTTCCAGTAACAAAGTAACACTGTGGAGATCCAGCAGTAAAAGACGTTACAAGACAGTTTCTCCGTAACAGCACAGACTGCAAAAGGCACTTGGAACTGTAGTTTTCAGAGTTACTTGTTTTTGTTCATCTTTCGTCCACACTTTCTCCCTTTGGTACCCTTGCAAAAAATACCAGAGCTGCTGAGCTGCCACAACCAGCCCAACACAGGAACTGCCAGCGAGGGCAGAACTGTCACATGTAGCAGATATTAGCAAGAGGGGGAGGGCTGTCATGACAGTAGGGATGGCCTCTGTTTTAAAAAACAAAACAAAACAAAACAAAACAAAAACAAAAAACAGTGTTCAGACACCATTCAAGTGTCTCGAGAAGCAAAACTGAAGAGGTATTTCAGGATTATTAGATCAGTCAAGATAAATCCTTGTCAAAATGCAGAGAAAACATGTTTGAAGTGACACCAGTTGGTCATTTAGCTTGCACTTATTTCTGGGCTACCATGTGCCATCCCAGGAGCTTGCCTTTCTCCGTTACCACAGTTTTCCCATTGTGTCACCTACATCAATTCCAAAATGCAAAATATATTCACTGAACTGACATCATCGGTAGGTCCCAATGCTAAAACAATTAGTGTATCTTATAGGTATTAGACCTTTCAACTCCATGTCTTGGTGAGGATTTCCCTGTCATTTCCCGATTTCCAGGAGCTCACCACCCAAAGCAGTGAAGTGGCAAATTGCTATTAGAAGCGAGAGGCCTGTGTTCAGAAATGCAAATACAGAGTCTTGTGCGTGAGGATGTATGTTGTTCCACACCCATGACATCCACAGCAAAACTTCTGACGCCGGTGACAACAGCATACTGAAGATGCACTGAGGGTGTAAGATACCGAATGCAAACACCCTCAGTGCATCTTCAGTATGCTCGTGCCATAACACAGTACATAATGGAACAAAAAGCATGACCTGATGTCTAGGGTATATTTAAGTATCTGGACTGTAACAAAGATGGGCAGGCTGAATACAAGTCCCACCTGAGAAGTTATATCACAACACACCTCACAGAGTCTTCATCGCTTATGAAGCAGCGGTCAGTCACACTCAAGTCAACTCACACACTCAACTAGAAGTGATGTTTCAAAGGGCATAAACAGGAATGCTTGGATGGGAAGTCACAAAATAGTTTCAAGGACACCTTCAGGTAAAAATGATCTTAAAAGTAAGTCTGGGAATTTCTTTATAAAATAAACTGACAGAAACTGAGCTGAAACATTGTCATTAATACTGAGTCTATAGTGACATGACAGCTATGACTTCAACCTGTTTTGATTTGTTGAAAAAAGCTTTTTCATCCTGAAATGTCCACATTTTGTATGTAAGTATAGGAAAATTTCTTGGCAAAGTCTGAAGTTCATTTAACATCCCGTTTTGAGAGACCATAATCGGAGAAGAGACATTCCTTTCTTACTTTGGAAATGCTCCTCTCAGCACTCTCACTGCAATATTCTAACTTATTTACTAAAAATTCTCAACTCAAATTTGAAAGTGTAATAAAGATATGACCAATTAAATCTATTGAAATAACTTTTTTCAGCATTTGACAGTTGTCTTTGTTGATTCCTTTGGGTCAAATTAATGTTTTGGATTAAGATTTTGTAGATTAAATGCCAGCATTCTACCATCAACACAACTTTACCTGAGTGACTGATTAAAATCTCTACTTTTTCTCATCTATACTTTTCAGTAATTCTAGATAACAGTCAACAGTTAGCAAAAGCACAGTAATTTATACATCCCAAAGCTGTCCTCCTCAGTTCTGACATCAGTGTTTGATATCAAAGTTTCTACAGCCATAGACAATCATTTTTTTTGCCAGCAGGGATGGATCAGTATTTGAACATTTAGTCCCTGTGTTTCTTTCTCCATATTCTGACACAGCCAATTAATATCCTCCCCATTTCCATTTTTCATTCTCAATTCTTTTTCCCTTTTCTCTCTCCCTTTGCTTAGTGTTATTTTTAATCTTTTAATACCCATTAAACATGGGTATTAAATACCCATTTAATAAATTTAATACCCATTAAACATCAAAGGATGTTTCCTTTCTCCCTTTTGCTGTCTGTTTAAGTCTCATTCCCTTACAAAAGACCAGCAGCTTACAGGCTGCAAGCAGCGGAGAAAGGCTCCCATACTGCTATCCAAAACTCATTCTTAGTGCCTTGGGTACAGAAGAAAGCTTAGCAAGGTAAGAAACACACAGGCAGGGTCTTTCTTTGCTTTCCCACCCTTGCTGTCCTGTTAGGTGCTCTCAGTTTTCTGCCATCTTCATGAACTACACAGTAAAGTATCAATCAGTAACAATATCAGAATGAACTTTTTTCCCCATAAATCTGGGGAAAACACTTGTCATCTCTTTGTACTTTTTCTATCCTGCTTGCCAATAGCTTTTCTGTCTTTGTTGGCATCTGTTCTAGCCTTATAGTTTTGAAACCATTCTAAATGCGTTTCAACTTGTGTTTCCATTTTGTTACAGCTTTACAAAAACTTGTCTCTGTGGCAGCTAAGAACCTGAAAATTGTATTTAAGGAGAATTCCCATTAGCGGTGCAACTATATAAATGTCAGACCAGAACCTCCGGTTGCATAAAGGTTAGTCACTGAAGATTGCCACTTCTGTGCAGTCACCATTCTCTGATCTTTAAAATAGCCCCTGAAAGATCAGTTTTTAAAAATGGCTATCCCACCAGCATCCCCCTTATTTTTTCCAAGCAAGAAAGTGCTGGAACTATCCAGAGATATGGTTAAGCATTTTATAACTATTTTACTTGTGTAAATTATTTGTAAAAGGAATTAAAATGCTCTTGCAGTTTAAGCAACATATTTGAGTCAATTTACAGGTATCAGTAAATCCAGTTTCAATACGTCTATAAAACATGTAAAGATTATTATCAGATCTGAGGCAAAGCCGAACTGATTTACAGTATCTGTGGCAAAGTCACAGGAGATGTTATTCTTCTGACTCAAATGGATCTGGTTCAGTGCAGCTAGTCTAGCCACGGGCTACAAATGTGTAAGCAAAGAGAAGATCTAAGAACAACACACTTAAAGGTGACAGCATTTGATCTAGAGTGCCACAAGGGAGTATCTAGAACAAAAAATCTGTCTTAAGAGCTTTCAAGTTTCTTGGGCCTTATCCACGCTCCTCTCAAGAACTTAGAAACAGAGAAGACCAGTCACAATCCAGGAGTCCCAGAAGGCATTGTCCATTCAGACCAAGTAAGGTCTTAGACATGACAGCCAGCACCTCCCATAAACAACATTTTTGGATCCTCTGACCCTTTAAAAGGCTGCTACTGGATTGAGGCACATGAATTCTGCCCACGCTAGTGGCAATTTCAAAAATAACTTTTCTTTCAGCTAATCAAGACCTGGTATCTTGGAAAAAGAGATGTCTGTAGATAGATTGTCATTGTAAGACTAGATCTTTCTCTGACAAAATACGACACATCCCTGTTAATTCTGCCCCCCGCCCCGCCGCCTTCGTCCCCCGCCAAATGCCTTTGCTTTTCTCCAGGTCTCTCCACAGTTCTTGATTCACTTCATGTGATACGGATCTTAATTAATTTTTTCTCCTGCGAATGCTGGGGTCCAAGGTCTCTGCCCTTACAAACCAGTCAGTAAGGAGTGATCTTTTTCTAACAATCAGACATACCATGCCAGTCAAGCACCTGAAGTTAAGGTGTCCATCCCCTAAAAGATACAGGTCAGCAGGGATTCTGGCTAATTGCTTTGTGATCCTCTGTGTCCACCCCCATCCCTATTTTGAAAGTACTTTTTCCCCAAGAATTAATTTATCAAGTGATCCTAAATTACGCATCCATTATTTTTGCACTGGTAGTTACGACCCTTTGGAAAAAATCGAAGGGTATTCATTACATCTTACGAAATAAATAAATCATTTCAGTTTGGAAGCTACCTAGTGGACTATAATGACCTGATACTTCAAGCACAGCTGTAACAGTGCCAGAAGGACTTTGAGCGCCTTCTAATAGTCCCTTAGCCTACAGTTCTTTCCTTCACGTATCAGACACGACTCACCATCTGTAGGTTCAGTTCATCATTTGCCTATAACTAGAATTTGTATAGCAATAACGTGGAACTTAATTCATACTTTCACAAATAATTATTCTATTCTGTTGCTTCTAGATAAAATGCTAGATTTGAGAAAGTACCATTTCTTCCTCCCCTCAATAAAGAATAGTATTCCTCAGAAGTTCAGTCTTTCTTTTTGTCCCCCCAGTGAGATTGGCAAAAGCAATGTCATAAAGCAGAAAAAAAGATTAGGTATCTAGAATCATTCTTCTTTGAAAGTATTAAGTAACAGTGGCCTTTCTTGTTACACTCTGTATCTGCATGGAAAAAGGACTTGCAGGCGTGATTA